TCCTCCAGCGCTGTGAAATTGAGGGTTCGCGTGCCCGCTTGTCCGGCCTGCTCGGGCATGTAAAAGCCTCCCTGAAGGCCACTGGTCATGATCTGCTAGAAGCGGACCTCAGCCACGCACTCGCCAACACCTCTGCGGAAGATGCGAGCCCACTCATGATGGAGTTTGCCTTTGATAAAGTGAATAAGGTCAGTTGTGAACAAAGCGACGCAACGAACGTGGGTTTTGCCTGATTTTATACAACACCGCACATGCGAGGTTTATCTGGTAAAAGCAGTAACCACTGTTGTGCACTCTGTCTTCATGCTCATCATGAACACTGCTTTATTTTAGTATTTATGGGGTTTCTGTCGCACACAAAACGTTTTGATTAGCAGTCATTGCTTTTTTCATGCACCTTAGGTCATTGGAAATTACTCCCCCCAGAGTAATGTTTCAGCTGCAAGTACATATGCGGTTGCAGTTGTAGCAATACGTTCTGGCCCGGGTCTGCTCATTCAAAAACAGATTATTTGTCTCTGAGAGTGCTTTGCTGTCGGCTGCCTAGGCGAAGTTAGCCTGTGTGCTTTTTATTCCGAATCTGGTACGCTAAAGGCCTTTAAATGAAGACAGTTAACCCTAGAGGAACTGGCCAAGTCGTCTTTTTTCGGTGTTTTTGTACCATTTCTTCCTTCCGTTCCCATTTTCTATATTTTCTCGTCTAAGTTTCCGGCGCTTTTCGGTTTATTTCGTCGCTTTACTGACTTCTAGAACGCTTTTTGTTTGATATTCCATCCACTGCACGTTCGGACGGCTTATCGTTGGCTTTAATGCTACATAGGAGTGCTTGGGTGAACCAGGGGTTAGCTTAACGGAAACGTGATTCCCTTGGGTATCTTCAGTTTGTCAATGACCCCGGAATGTCCTAAAAAGCTCTGAACTGTACACTTCCGCCAAATATCAGGGCAGTAAGGTAAGCGCGAAATGAAACGACCAGTATATTATGTAGGTAGAACGTCAGAACTGGGCTTACATTTCCGACGGTAGACAGATCTGCCTCTGACGGACATACTTTTTCGACAGAGGACTTGGAAGATTGGTTGTCACGATGCAAGCCCGACAATGTCTATCGGCATATGCTTGCAGCCTGCCTATTAGTTGGTAGATTTTTCACCTTTATTTGCGTGACGTTAGACCGTTACCGATTTGTAATACGGGCCTTGTACAACTACCCGGATGTATGGGTTGGTTTGACATAAGTCGCTCTTTTACCAAGTGTTGTTGGCTCTAGAACTGTCCGATGTATTGCAATAAGGACACCTTAGATATATCACAAGGAGCACCGGGATACCTGAAACCCACCTTATTTTTGCGCGTCCTTGAGCTCCTTCTGCATGTCCAACAGTAATCTTTTAGCAC